TCAATCATTCATCACACCTTCAGAAACGGCCATAGGGCTGGAATGCTAGCAAGTAGTTCCCAGATTCCTCGTATCTAACATTCCACGTCGCACTGGTTCCTTACGTTCCCGGACATTCCTGTCCCTTACGGTAAACCGGCATCCCAGAAACTTGGCCCATTTACTTTATCCTCACGAGTTACCGTTTTGCATTGCACGCCATGCTATAGTAAGTTCCTGGCGACATTTACTCTTTACTAGTGCTATATATTTTATCTACTCAGGACCTATCAAATACCTGGAAACATAAGTCCCCCTTTAAGTAAAAAATATAATAAGATGTGTTCACTCAGGGACCAGAAGCAACCGATTGAAATCGACAAGGCCTTTTTTATTTACCCCATCATTTGAATGCCACATTACAAACCCCGAACTAACTTCAATTGTGAAGTATCCGAAACGAGTGCAGCAGAAGCAAGGACCGATCCGACCGGTATTTACCGGAAATTAGAGCTCAAGAAAGTGAAAGGGGTACTTCCATGGCAACTGTCAAATAGTCCAGAATAGACATAGATCCTGATGATGAGATAAATATGTGCAACGGTGGATATTCCGGTGGCGTCTGTAATGTAAATATAAATGTGCAGTATAGATCCTTGCCCAGCGCAGTGTTAATCGCATCCCTGGAATGCAGTTCGATGCAACAAGCGCAGCAGGACAGATTGGGATCCTGATGGGTGAACTGCAGACTTTGCTGTGTAACTCATATATACAATACAAGTTGATAAAAGGGTGACGAAGAAGCGGGAAGAACAAGGAAAGATGATGAGGAAAACGAACAAAAGCGAAACCTGTGATAATCCTTTTTTTTTTAAAAAAAAAAAAAAAACTTTTTTCTTTTTTATGAATTTTATTTCACATGAATCAGTAGTAGCATTAATAATAGCGCGCCCAATTCATTTCTCGCCCGTGCGCTCGCATATATGCAGCATCAGCAATCAGATCCTTTCTGTCAACTGTGTGCCCAAGTGACACGGGTGATGGGCGACTGGACCATCCTAGTACCTACTCGTAGTACTCCGTACTACGAGTAGGACCTTCCAATCCTAGTCCGCAGACATGCATTGCATTGCAGCAACAGGTAGTCCAGAATACTAGTTAGTAGCAAGGATTGGTGTTACATCCTTGCCGATGGGGTTATTCTCACGCTGCAGTTAGCAAAGCTTAAATGATTTGTTGGGGGCGTGTGTCTGTGTGCCGTTTATGCACCTCTCTCTATTTTGTTCGAGGTAGATTGGTTTGATGGTGTGGGGGGAAGTAACTACGAGGTCCTTGGCATTCACTGATCGCCATTCTTGTATTCAGGCTGTTTGAATTTTGTTCTGATGTGCTGCAGTCCACTGCGACTCCGTTCTTTCGAACCTTTTTTTAGGACCATCTGTTTCAGGTGCGCGGCTATGCTGGGCTTGGCTAGGTATGTGCTCGGGATAATGGATGTTACATTGCCCTGGGTCGGGCGAAGAAGACGATCAGAATATTTCTTGAATATGAGGGAGGGTGCATCAATATATATATATATCTAGGTATGTTGCGAGGATGCAATGTTCGCTTCTGTCGTTAATGTTACCAGCATCTGCAGTGGGATAGGGGAATCTGTATATTTCAAATACTGTACACCCGCCCAGCTCCGTTCTCAATCGAGATCATCGACTTCCTCTTAAATAAAAATATGAGACTAGTGCGATCCTTTGATATAGGTGAAAATAAAGAATAAACAACCTTTGGACTTAACGGCGCTATGATAGTTTTAAAGAGAGACCACTAGTCCTGATTAAAATAGAGATCGACACACCCCGGGCAGTGGCTGATTGCTGTCATGATAATTGCATGATTGCAAATACGGTGTTGAATACAGGGAAACAAGTAGATGAATAGTAAGTATGGTATTGCTTTACAACACAAACAAACGGCCCTGGTTCGTTTATTGTATGGAGCCGGTGTAGCTGTCACCTGAAGGATTGGCATCACGTGACATAAGTACACGCAGTCAAAGAATGAAGGCATCTCCCCACGAGCAGAATGTTCTCGGAATGGGAGCCTTCTAACCGACTACGTGTTCTTATTCTTATCTCCATGGTATGTACGTAGGGCACAGGCTAGCTTGAATAACTAGTGGAGTAGATCATTCGATCATAGCCAAATATTTCAACCTCCAAAGATGATATTGTTCGGAGATTCAGGGCTGAGACTCGGCCCCGACAAAACGGAGTGCCGAGATATTCAGTATAGGGGGGGCGTGAACGACGGAGTAGACTCACGCTAGGAGACCACTTTCCCCCTAACAAGGGAAAGGGTTAAGGATGTCGGGTGGCCCGCCTAAAGTTAGTTAGGATTCCCGGCGTTAGAAACTTCAAAGTTAGGGACCCTTCGGTGGGAACGAAGCACCTCCTAAGCGAAGGAATGGGGATAGTGTGGGTGTGTGGATGTGCTAGTGAGGAGTCTGGCATCTTTAGAACGGCCCATTATTCATTGTTGTGGAAGGGGCTTAATCACAGAAAAAGAAAAATGAAAAATAGGAAAAAGAAAAGATCGGCCCACTCAGGTGATGTATCAACTTATCAAGATCAACTGAAAAGCCGACGGATCAGCATCGGAAAGGCCCCACTTGATGGAATCTGTGGCTGCCGCTAGGGTGGCTGGTGGCATTTCCTGTGCGTTGTCCCGTCAGGTGACTAAGTACTTATGTAAGCACAGTTGCCGCAGAGCCTTTTCAGCGATCCATGACGGAAGAGGCAAAGTAAGAAACAAGTTGAGGAAAGGGTAAAGAATTTAATAAAAAAAAGCTTTGGGTAGTATCACACTCGTAGCCGCCTGCGTCGTCTTGTCAAATGCATTACTACGTTTTGGTGTGGATCTGGAGCCAAACATTGAACGCAACTACCACATCCACGTATTTTGGACCTAGCGATTTCGTAGTAAAACTTCCCAAAGGTCCCGAGAAAAAGGGGAAGGAGAGTTTTAGATGGCAAACCAAAAAAAAAAAAAAAAAAAAAAAAAAAAAAAAAAAAAAAAAAAAAAAAAAAAAAAAAAAAAAAAAAAAAAAAGCCATATCAACATATGCAGCAACCCCCTGTGAGCGAGCACTGACCGTTTACCCTCAATTGATCCCCGTAGCCGGGGATATGCAAGCCAGGTTGACGTACTCTTGTATGCCAGTGTCAGATGGTGGAGGGAGGGGGAAAGAGACGTTGGAGGGTGGAGGAAGAGAGGGGTTGGTCCGGATATTGGCAGTATTGAGATCCGTCAGTCGTTACTCGCTCCTGAGTTTGGGAGCATGGGGATTGGAGAATGGGCCGCAGAGGGTCCTACTCCATATGTGCGTATTGTCCGGCACAGTCTAAGATGCAGACGGTTAGTACGGAGGAGGGAAGCCAGTTTCTGGGATTATTGGGGGCCACTGCAACATTTGCAGGTGGCCCAAGTGGGGACTGCCTCATGCCTAACTAGGCTGCCGGGAGCTTAGGTAGTTGAGCTTATGACCATAACGCCAGTCATGTATGTCGGTTGAAGACCCACCAGGGCAGTCAGGAATTATTGGTGGCACTGTCGTAAATAATGCAATATTTTATTAAATAATAAATAATGGCACGGGGAAGACAGGGTCGGTGGGTCCATGTTCCATGGTCCACCCGCAGCCTCTCGGCGAGTCACAACCGGGGGTTCGTGCTACTCGACTTACGTCCTGCAATCCCTGGAGTTGCTTTTCTGGCTCCGGCGCTTGCATCCTCGTCAGACACTGCCCTGTTTCGGGACGGTTCGACTCCATTGAAACTAAAAATTTGAAAATAAAATAAAATAAAAATAAAAATAAAGATTTTTTTTTCTCTCTAAACCCGCTTAAATCATACCTACCTACTCCGTTTTCCTACAGTTAATATTTTAGTAGTCTCCGTCGTCTACTAATTTTAATTAATTCTAATTTGCTACTTTTCTCTGCACTAAGGTCCATGCTACTATTTATCACACTTTGCGCCCCGCTCGCCAACGTGAGCCTCCTCTTTCCATCCCTCTCATACTCCAGTATCGAAGAAGTCACAATGAAATATAGAATATTAGAGTTGCGGAGCGAAAAACATAATCATCTATCAGTAAATCCATAAAGTCCTCGAAATCATGATGAGCGTGGATATAGATAGACTGTCAACAGAAGACATACTTTGTAGGAAGAAGAATAAAAAATTGTGGGAATAATATAGAAAAACTCCCATTCGTGTCAAATAGAATTTGTGCACTGACTCGACTGGGATCTATCAAGACCTTGGGTAAGACAAGTCAATGAGGGAGACGATCTTCCCTGTACCCTGTTGTACTTTGCTCCTGCATTCAAATGCGCACACCTGAGATTCCGGTGCCCGGAAAATATTAACTGTAAATACCCGCGGACACGACTCCAGATTGTCCCCACCCACTAGACCGTTCCTGGTCGTAAGCTGTCTGTCTTCGGCTTGGCGCCGGACGACCGCCATCTCACCTTTTTCCGTGCTTTCCTTTGCTTTCGCTGACTGCTCGAGAGCTGCACAACCACTAGCGCCGCTTGGCAAATTTCACCCTCTACCACCAGCCCCTCGACCTTTCTCTCCTCTTCCTCTTCTTCCTCCTTTCTCGCTTTCCTCTGCTTCTTTCCTTTCCTTTTCCTTTTTCTTCGCTTTTTCCTGTTGGTGATTTTGCCCTGTTCCCTATACATTTCATTGCCTCCATTTGCATCTCAATTCCTTTCCTCTCCCCTTCCGTTACCCACCTTCCCTTTCTCGGCTATTGGGTTGTGCCTTACTCATAGCGCCAACTCTTGCCGGCCGAGGCCCTTCCCCTTTTCATATTACCTTCGCATACTCTCGCATTCGTTCGGTCTCACGGTGCACACGGTGTTGGCCTTCTAGGTCTACATCAGGGCGATTGACTGTGCGCGATCCTCAGCGCTCCCGTCTTCCGTACATCAGCTTCACTCCCGGCGAAGCGCGTGATTGAACGGAACTTTCAACCATTCTGGTCAAGGCGCCAAGGCTTTTTCAATTGACAATCTCGACCCGAATCACGATTGTCATTGAGAGTGGCCTCGAAAAGAAAAGGTCGCGCTTGCGGGAACCGTTGGGCCTTGGTACGCGCGTAGACCTACATCGTTGTTCCGTGAGTGGTACGGACTTGGATTGCATCATCGTGTCGCAGGTTTTATGGGGCCCGAAGCTACAACATCACGACACCCGGTTACTTTGCGCTTCGTCTAGTGTCTCACCTTCACTATGGCTCACACCCAGCCATCGCCCACGGGCGGCGTCACACCTCACCATGGCCATCTTGCTGCTCATCCGCAGGTTAATGGCCACATGCCTTTGCAATCGCAGGGCCAGAAGGGTCCTCCCATGAGCACTGCTCAAAAGATTGCCGCGCTGAACGAGCAGGTGTGGCTTCAAATTGGTACGTTAAGACATTGCGCATGCTTTCCCATAGCCCTTTTTAAGTCCTCACGCGACACGTACACTGACCGCTTTTCTTAGGTGGTCTAACTGAACTGATGGGAGACCTTGACGGTGCTATGAATGCATACGAACAGGCTTTGAGGCATAATCAATGGTCTATTCCTGCAATGAACGCGATATCCTGCATCCTGCGGACCAAGGAACAGTTTCCGAAGGCGATTGAGTATTTGCAGAATATTCTGAAGCTGGACCCCACGAGCGGCGAAACATGGGGCAGTTTGGGTATGTGTTCACTAACAACATACCTGCAATGAGCAGTTGACTGACTAGCAGCTCAGGTCATTGTCATCTCATGATGGATAATTTGCAAGAGGCATATACGTCTTACCAGCAAGCGCTCTACCATCTGCGTGATCCTAAGGTATGTTAGGCTGATTCTCTATATAAAATAATATCAGCCTAACTCATGGTCGTTTTAATAGGAACCCAAATTGTGGTACGGTATCGGTATCCTTTACGATCGTTATGGTTCCCTCGATCACGCCGAAGAAGCCTTCTCCCAGGTCATGAGAATGGCGCCTGATTTCGAGAAAGCCAACGAGATCTACTTCAGATTGGGAATAATTTACAAGCAGCAGCAGAAGTTTAATCAGAGTCTGGAGGTCAGTATCTATGCGTCAGAGTCAAAATTGGGTCATTTTCCTGATTCTTTAATTCCAGTGCTTCAAATATATTGTCACCGACCCCCCACGTCCTCTCACGGAGGAAGATATCTGGTTTCAGATTGGCCATGTCCACGAGCAGCAAAAAGACGTGAGCTCCCTAACCCATCATGTTTGAAGATAGGCTCGAGCTAACCCTGACAGTTTGATTCGGCGCAACAAGCCTACAGACGGGTTCTTGAGCGTGATCCGAATCACGCAAAGGTCTTGCAACAGCTTGGGTGGCTGTATCACCAACAGAGCAACAGCTACACCAGCCAGGAAAAGGCAATCGAGTACCTTGAGAAATCGGTTAGCGCAGGTAGGTTTCTAAGCATGGTTTGAAAAGAAAAATGCGACGAGTCTAACGGTCTGTGCTTCTCATAGACAACACGGATGCGCAGAGTTGGTACCTGCTTGGCCGATGCTACATGTCCCAAGCCAAGTATCCCAAGGCGTACGAGGCCTACCAACAAGCCGTCTATCGGGACGGTCGGAACCCAACTTTCTGGTGTTCTATTGGTGTGCTTTATTACCAAATCAATCAGTACCGCGATGCATTGGATGCCTACTCGCGTGCGATTCGCCTAAATCCTTACATATCGGAAGTTTGGTATGACTTGGGAACTCTAGTAAGCTCACGGATACCCGAGAAGACACCAATGGAAGAGACTAACTTTCTACCCAGTACGAGTCCTGCAACAACCAAATTACGGATGCGCTCGACGCGTATGGTCGTGCTGCCGATCTGGACCCGAGCAACGTCCACATAAAAGCACGCCTGCAGCTCCTTCAGAGTCAGTTGTCAGGCACCAACCAGAGCAATGCGCCGGCTCCTCAACCTCAGGATGTCCACCCGCAGGCCTACCAGACTGGTGTTGGAGGACCTCCCGCTCCTCAGTGGGGTGCACCGGCACCGACTGGTGGTCCTCCTCCCCAGCCTCCTGCTCCACCAAGGCAGATTGCTGATTGGAACCGTGGCATCAACGAACTTCAATCTCAGGCTCACGCTCAAGCCCAGGCGGCAAATGGATTTGACCACAGGGATGCGGTTCGAGCCCCCGCAGCTATTCAGCAACCCAGCCCACGCCAGGAGCCAGGAAGGGGCTTCCCCGACGCTGTCCGTCCTCAGCCTACCGCAGCTCGTTCCCCGAAGACTGCACTGGCCGGCCAGGGCGTGTACGCGCCTGCACATGCACTTCCTCAGATTGCAAACCCACCTGCCCCGTCTCACGAGCGTGCCCCTAGTGGTGCTAGTGGTTTGCCTTCGGCAACTCGAGGACCGTTACCTCCTGCCCCCGCAGGGCCCCCTTTTGCTCCCGGTGCGCCTAATGGTGCTCCTACTTCTGGCGGCCCTCTACCCCCTTATCATCGCCCATTCACCCCTCCGGCTGAGATCAGGCCTATCCGTGATGAGCGACCCTCGTCTCCTGGTTCCACTTACCCACACCAGCAGTATCATCACGGTCCTAGTGTGCCACCTGTGCAGGGCGCTGGCAGCACTGGAATTGCGGGCGGTGCACCCGCGCCTCCATCCGCCATCACTGCCGCTGAGGCCGCTGCTCGCGAACGTGAAGATCGTCCCGCATCTGCAATGAAGCGTGCTCGCGAGTGGGAATCCGAGTCCGCACCCGTTAAGAAGATTGCGAATGAAGAAAGCCGTGCTCGCCTCGATGAACAGCTTCCTCGTCGTGTCAGTCCTCCAAACCGCATGCCTTCCCCCGGCGAGATGCAGCGTCGTAGCTCGTCTGAAGTTCGACGCGAAGACCAACGTCGTATCAACGAAAGTTACCATCCTTCTGAGGCGGCTCATCACCCTCCGACGCTGCCATCCATCCAGCACATGCCGCCACACGCCTCTGGCTCTGGGCTTCCTCCAATGGCTGAAGGGTCTGCTCCGGCAGCCAACGGACCACAGCCTGGACCTTCTGCTCCTGTGCAGGTTAAGGAGGAGCCGGCCCGCGGCGAGCAACCCCCCGCTCATGAACCAGCTGCGCGGAAGATGGACGTGGACGAGAACTATGATGACGATGGCGATGATGATAAAAGAGCCAACACTGCTGTAAAGGGCAGCCCTCCTGCCAGCGGATCGAGCAATACCAACAATGCCACCAATGGCAGCCAGACTTCACAGTCGAAACCGGAGTCAACAGCCTAGGGACGCCACATCCACATGAGTTTCCTGCTGTCTCCATTGATGAATGTACCATGTTGCCTATGGGCTGAGCCTGAATCAAAAAAGCTCACACGAAGTTATCATTATGAGACTTCTTGTTGCCTTCGCTTACTTCTTCCCTGATTTTCTTTTCTTCTCTTTCCATTATCTATATATTTGATCTCTTCCCCCGTTCCTTGATTTCCCTCTACTTTTGGGCCTACCATTTCCTGGTGGTGTTCACCTTTCTCTGCTACCTTAGCCACTTGGTCTGTATTGTATGACTCCGAACGGCACATTAGGAAGGCTATGCACGTTTCCCACTTTGTGCTATTGTATCTATTCTATTTTTCTAAATTTTTCTGTTTTCTTACATTTGTATGCCCTGCGACAACCCATCCGTTCTCATCTCCTGTCTTAGTCTTTGAACTCTTGATGATTGAAGGTAGCAACAACAAAAAATGGCAAACTAGGTAAAGTACTTTATGAGCTAGTGGTTTTCATTTTCATGCGTAGTAAGGCGGTAAGATTTGGTGGTGGGTGCTACCGAACCTTCTGCACGACCCTTAGCCCGTGTCTGGAGCGGCCGGGGCCGATTCTCCATGTGCAACGGGAGAGGTACTAAGTAGTGCTAAGTAACTGTAGTCGTTCTGTTGGACTGATAGGGCTTTCACTGGTTACGTACAATGTTATGGGGTCAGGAGGAACCGCCGAAGTTACTGATAATGGTATGGTGGCCGAACATCAATTGTGCCTCAGGCACACATGGGAGTCGCTTACCGTCGCGGTAGTACCTAACCGGAACAGGATTAGCGCCGGCATCGCTTAGGTCAGCCCACACTCGTTAAGCGTGCAAAATATGACTTTGCGGCCGATTCAGAGATAGACACTGTCACTCACCACTTCGACGACTAACGACAACAGGGTCAAGATGTGAGTTACCACGCTGGCGCAATGCCATCATGACCTCAAAAGAATCAAATCGCTGATTTTTATTCTCTGTAACAGGAGTCACCGGAAGTACGAAGCGCCTCGGCACGGTTCGTCAATCTTTGCTCAGTTTTCGGGCGACTTCGAATTTTGAGGTCGTGGGTGTATTTTGTGTGCGTCCTACTGACACAACTCTTCACAGGCTCCCTTGCCTACCTGCCCCGCAAGCGCGCTGCCAGACACCGTGGAAAGGTCAAGAGGTTAGTTTTGGATGAAAATTTCCATGTTCAAATGCGATATTGGAAGGCAGGATACTGAGACCCACGACAGCTTCCCCAAGGATGACCCCAAGAAGCCCGTCCACCTGACGGCCTCCATGGGTTACAAGGCCGGTATGACCACTGTTGTCCGTGACCTTGACAGACCCGGTGCCAAGATGCACAAGAAGGAGGTTGTCGAGGCTGTCACCGTCATCGAGACCCCTCCCGTATGTTACACCTATCAATTATTTGACCCCAGTGGGTGCGGAAGTGCAGCGTACTCACAAATCTTATCTAGCTTGTCGCTATCGGTGTCGTCGGTTACATTGAGACTCCCCGTGGCCTCCGCTCTCTCACCACCGTCTGGGCTGAGCACTTGAGCGACGAGGTCAAGCGCCGCTTCTACAAGAACTGGTACAAGAGCAAGAAGAAGGCCTTCACCAAGTACGCCAAGCAGCACGCTGAGGAGAGCGGTGCCTCCATCACCCGCGAGCTTGAGCGCATCAAGAAGTACTGCACTGTTGTCCGTGTGCTCGCCCACACCCAGATCCGCAAGACCCCTCTCAAGCAGAAGAAGGCCCACCTTATGGAGATCCAGGTCAACGGTGGCTCCGTTGCCGACAAGGTTGACTTCGCCCGCAACCTCTTCGAGAAGACCATTGAGATCGACTCTGTCTTCGAGAAGGACGAGGTGATCGACGTTATTGCTGTCACCAAGGGTCACGGTTTCCAGGGTGTCACCAGCCGTTGGGGTACCAAGAAGCTTCCCCGTAAGACTCACAAGGGTCTGCGTAAGGTCGCCTGTATCGGTGCCTGGCACCCTAACCACGTCCAGTGGACTGTTGCCCGTGCTGGTCAGATGGGTTACCACCACCGTACCTCCTGCAACCACAAGGTCTACCGTATCGGTAAGGGCACCGACGAGGGTAACGCCTCCACCGACTTCGATATCTCCAAGAAGCAGATCACTCCGTAAGTAACCCCCGTGGCATGACCTCTGTGTGGGTTGACATGCAGTGACTAACTATTACGCAGTATGGGTGGCTTCGTCCGCTATGGTGAGGTTAAGAACGACTTCGTCATGCTCAAGGGTTCCGTCCCTGGTGTCAAGAAGCGTGTCATGACCCTGCGCAAGACCCTCTACCCCCAGACCAGCCGCAAGGCCACCGAGAAGATCGAGCTCAAGTGGGTCGATACCTCTTCCGAGTTCGGCCACGGTGCCTTCCAGACCCCCGAGGAGAAGCGCGCTTTCTTGGGTACCCTCAAGAAGGACCTTGTTACTTCCGCTTAAGGTGTTTATGGATATGATACGGTGTAGTGCAAATTATTTATTTTTTCAATAAAAAAGCGAATACCTTCCAAGTCTAGGGTGCGACTGGAGATCGTCATTTTCTTTCTATTAGGTTTACGTAGCTGCAAGGCAAATTTCATGACATTCAAGAGACCGCGCTTGACGAGCAGAAAAATTCTCCTGTAAGAATGTCCATGTCTGGAAATCTGCGCTGTACTGTAGTACCGAATTGCAATTGGTGCGGTGGGAAAACCTTGGCGCTTCTCCGGCGCAGTCCAGAAGAAATACCTTTAAAATTTGGAAGACATGACTTTCATGCCCTCTCTTTGCTCCTCTCTGTTCTACGATAGTGCTCAGCTCCCTCGAACTCCAGAGGCCGTGCTTGATTCTATAATCCCTGACTGTCCACAGCCCGAACCCTTTCTTCCGTGGCAAAACTCCCACACAACTCTCAGCATCCAATCCCGATGCCGCTCAGCCGCCGAGGGCATTGCGTCATTGATCGCATCTGGTGTTGGGCTTCAATCTCATCGCCAGAAGTCCGCAAACTCCCCCTCCTCTCTTCATTCATCCAACTTCCACTCAAGAACTATCCCTCTTCCTCCCGTCAAATCCACCATCTTCATAGGACACTCTTCGTGAGCCGTCACCGAACACGCGACAACATCACTGTTTCACCACGTACCCCTCTCCAACCCACCATCTCGCGCACAATGTCCGACGACGCCTACATGAACTTCCTGAACAAAGCCAACGCAGACCTGGACACCGGGCGAGTTCAACAAACACGGGACTCCCCCGTCGTTCGTACCGAAACAGTCGAAACGGGCGTCCGCATCCCAACACCTCTGACTTCAGTCGACGCCTACTACATCTCTGAAACCGATGAACCGTTCGAACCTGTCGCACTGCGATGGGAGGGCGCATCTAGAGGAATTTTCCCTGATCCTTGTACGTGACTCTTGTAAGCCCTAGTTTTCACAACCTCAAAGAGGCAGTTCACCGAAAACAATCAACCTCAAGTGGTCCATGCTAACTACATCTACCAAAGCGCATCTATCCAGTTTGATCTCGCCGAATGCGGATCTCTCATCATCGATTACTACTATGTCGCCATCTTCATTTGATCCGAAGAATCAGTACCCGTCTGCGCTGCGCGCGGTTCGCGCCGCCGTGGCGGAGTCGTCAGGGGGAGATGAATCGGCGGTGGACGTGAAAGTCTATCAGGTTGAGGTTGGGTCATCGCGGATTGAGTATTATATTCTTGCGGTGGATGTTGAGAAGTCGTTGATTGTGGGGCTGAGGACGAAGGCTGTTGAGACTTAGTAGTGCTTTGTGGGTGAGCCAGACTATCTAAGAGTGGATCGTGGAAGTGTTCTCTTTCCGCTCTTTTTACTTTATTTATCTTCGTGGGTGTATATATGGAAGAGAGAGGATTATAATTGTCCGTGTGAATGAAGTTGTATACTTATACATTTAAGTTCTTGTCATCCTGTTTTCTTTTCTTCCTGTGCTTTTTTCCTGGTGGACGGTCTAGGGTAAATCCCGGCAGAAAGAAAGAAGCATATAAAGGTTTCCCATGATAATCCAGAAACATTGTATAGAACAACCAGGCTTTAAAAGTAGATAACTTCTCAAACCAATTGGCGTTGGTCACATAGGACTACATGCAAATAAACTCAACACAGGTATAACAACCAAGATCTGTTGGTTACTACTTGACTAGAACTTAGCATGGAGATACGCCGTACTACTTACCATAAACAGATACCCATACATGCATTATCAATTAAGTCCAAATCAAAATCCAAAAAAAAAGAAGAAGAAAGAAAGAAAGACACATTCTAGTCGACCAGTAGGAGTAGACGGAACAACATACAAGGACCCCCAAGATACATTAAATAGGCCCACCTCAGCAAGGGCCCGAGAGCTACATTCATTTATTAGTACCTACTAGGAGTTACTACCAGGAACCCATGGCTCAAAGACCCACCGCGCAACACACAACACAATTATTTATTTCAATCTGATTCATGTAATTCGAAATGTCCAGAGAACTACCCAAGAGTAGAATACCCACTAACACTTGTCAAGATAGCCTCGTGGTCCGAACAGGGTCCCCATTTGTCTCAGAGCGCGATATCTGTAGCACCTAGACAGGAAAGAAGGACCAAAAAAAAGGGCAAAGAAAGGATACTCCCCCACCGCGACAGGAAACAAATTACAGTTGCAAAAAGTGTAATAGATCTTATGTATGTATGTATGTATGTTGCATTAATGGTTCAGAGTTCTTTTCTTGGAAGATATAAATAATCTATGTATGTGGTTAAGTTGACCATCATGTGACTGTTGGATGTCTGTTTATTTGGGGTCGATGCAGGTTGGGTGACATGCATGTCACCCAGAGGGAACTGGGGTTTGGAGGGTCATGGAGAAACAAACCCCCGTGAAAGGGGTCCCAGTGGGTGGGTGTGGGTAGATGTATGTACGTATGTATGTACTCTAGGGTGTAGATTTGGAGGGGTTGGGTTTGTGTGGTGGTTTCTACTGATTCATGCGTTTTTGGTGGAGGGAATACGGAGTACTGGTTTATTGATTTATTTTAGGCATCCATTCTAATTGTGCTTATGTTTGTGTGATTGTGTGTGTGTGTAGCATAAAGAGGGAGAAATTATAGGCAGAAAGATAAAATAAAAGGAAAGAAAAAAAAAAAAAAGAGTAAGAAGAGGGAAAAATAGTAAGAAAAGATTATGAGCAAGGGGCGGTTCCCCGTCCCTGTTGTTGGTGCAGGCGGAGGGCAGGAAAAGCTGGAGAGAGAAAACCCCATCCGATTATCTATTTTATGGATTTTATTTAATTTTTGATTTTTTTTTTTATATCACATGGAATACAATTCCACTGTACGGAATACAATTTGCACAATCAACAACGCAAACTGTCTCAGGTGAGAAAGGAAAATCAGTACGAAACCGAGTACGCGTCCCACTTGGAGGGAAAAGGCTACTGGTATTATTTTTGTTCGGGCGATTGTTATCATGGCGCATGGGACCATCGAACTGGGGCATGTCTCGGGATGGATGGGTTTAACACGCGTCCCTGGCAGACTAAGTATATTAGGGTTGTCCTGGTAAATTACCAGGGTAAACGGCGAGCCCCGCTAAGGTATTGCTTTGGTACGGCTAACGACGTGACCTTGAAGCACGGTGGTGGTGAAGGGGAGCAGCAGTTCTTAAATACATACATATCTATATTCTGGACCAAGAGGCCAAGCATTGTTGATCTCTGATCATTACTCGAAAGGATTTGAGCTGCCCGAATGGTGTGGACGGTGATTGGGTCGGATGTGGATGGGTGTTGTTCCTCATTGCATGCATCTCAGGCAGTTGCCGACACCGAGATGTTTATCCTCAGGAAGGATTGGGAGCTATGACATCAATCTTCGGTGGCTGATAGAGGGGTTGTAGCTTTATTTGGAGCTCACAGGTGATTCGGTAGATGTATCAACTGTCATCTATGTACAGAGGAGATGATGTGGCTAACATCGAACGCATCTCGGGTGATCTGCTGATGATCTTAGTCTCAACTGACAGGATGAAAGATCACTGCTGTACTTTACAAGTAGTGACCACCAGTCCAGTGTCAGTCAATGGTAGTATTCCAAGGAAAGCAATAAATGTACCAATGGGTATCTCTTGGTCTTCATACTTCCCGCCATGTTTTGCGAGTTTCAGCGGGGTGATAGAAGTTCACCAGGAATGACGGAAGGTTGCTATGAGCTCTGTCTGATGGAATGAGGGGAAGAGTAAACAATAGGTTTCAGGATTCCCAGGCTAAGACAATTAGCTATGGAGTATGCTATACGTTCGCTTTGGCTATTAAGCCTCATTGCCTTCTTCTTCTTTCTGGCCTGGGACGCTGTTTGTTGCGATGACGACAGGGTCGTGCTTTGTCACTGGAGTAGATCTGATCTATCCAGAGCCTTTTAAGGTTAACGGCTAGGACGCGTGTTCAGGAATGATATATATATATATAGGAGCATCCATGTGAGGCACTCCTCGGAGATAATATTGTTCGCCTTGTTTTTCCTTTTGCTTCTTTTTTTTTTTTTTTTTTTTTTTTTCAAAAGATTAGCGATCGTCTCAGAGCGAAAAAGGAAATAAGTTCTAGGGTTAAGTTCTTCTGGAAGGGGTCTTGGCGTGTCAATCATTGAACCCGAGGGTTTGATGCAATGGAGATGTCTTGAGACAGTCGTGATATGCCTATTCATATAAGGCGCACTTCGTGATGAGTAGATAGTGGGAGTGTGTACTGTATCAATGGAACATCTACCCATATCACCGTAGTAGTGCTCTGTAGTACGGCGTAGTCAGTTGAAGGCCGTCTTTCGCCCGGGACGATTACCATACAATACCGAATCCACCAGGTTGATGAACCCTGCACTAAAGACTTCAATATGGCGCTAGACGGTCAAATAACGCTTAGTTGCCGAGTCTTAGGGTTTGCCGGTCCACTTGACAACGATCTCGAGATTCCATGGAACAGGCTACCATTTCTCTTGGACTGTAGCAACGAAATTCTTCCTGAGCATTCCTGAAACTCACTGGGTGGGGTGGATGCTTCGGTTTGGGGCAGCTATGAAATATCCCGGTGAACCACCCAAGGGGTTCGATAACGGGAAGGAAAAACAAAGGATGGAACTGGAATTCTTCCCCTGAAGGGTCAAAGTCTAGACCGCTGAGGAAACAAACATACTCGCCGAGCAGTACCTGCAGGGCCGAGTTTTCTCTCGTCACCTTCGAACCAACGTTAGCCAAAAGACCTGCAGACGCCACCGGGCCACCTTCTTTACTCATTTCCCTAGGGTATGAATCGCCCCAAAAAAAAAGGGCGATGATCTCCACTTGCAGGGGTCTTAGTGGCCAATGATCCCCGGAGGGGACCTATTTTAAAGCATTCTTGTGGTCTTGTATCTTTCTGATAACAACAGGACCGTCGGTGGTACCTTTCATGCCGATTCCTACTATCTTTGGATGGTTTCATGATGGTCCAGTATTATTCTTGGGATTCTCATTTGTCCTTTTCATGCTACGACACTGCCTGTATTATTATTCTAGATTATTATTATTATTGGTACACTGTTTACGGAGTAGGTATAAACTTGGAGAAGGAAAGTAAATTTTTTATTTTTTTTTTTGAAAAAATAAAAATAAAAAAAAAATTGAATAAAAAGCTTTGCCATGCTATGTAGGAAGAAGCCAAACAGGGATTGGCATTGACAAACTGAACGCTCTCCACTCCCCTGTCCTTACTGTCCTTCTGGGTAGTTTAGGTCTTTGTGGCATCCTGACCTTCATTCCAATTGCGCCCACTGGTGCCTTTTCTTTGTTTCTCTCTTCCTTTCTTCTTCTTCCTCTCCCCTCCCCTCCTCTCCGGCTAAACGTCAATCTACCCCCTCGCCGTCGATTATCACCGCCCATTCATCTCAACATATGCACGCCCTCTAATCCTTTCTGCTTGTTTTGGTCCTGATACACTGATACCGTCTGTGCTCGTGTACGTTCGCCAACCCTCCAGAGACAAATGCGCATCGGGATTCAGTGTCCCGTCCACTCGTTCGTAGTCTTATTTACCTCTTGATACCCATAGCGCATAATTCGTCGCTCATTTTCGCTTTTGTCACGGAGCCAGTCATTACCAAGAGCCGGGGTGGATTAATATCTAATTAACACAGCTACAGTCTGCTGGTACATCATCTGGATGGAATCCCGGATGGTAGCTTTTTGATCGGTTGTGCACCAAGGGCTTAGGGATATACCTGTCCACCAGCGCGCATTATCGATACCATTTGCGACGCGACCAGGGTTCAAAAAAGAAGCACTCTCAAGGCTATTGAAGGGTGAATTAGGGCTCGCTCTTCCATCAACAAACCCCCAAATTCGTGTGGGGATCAACAGCGGTTACGGATCACCCACAGCAACAATCAATACAAACGTATTGCAAGATGTCGGACAACCCAATGAGCCAATCGGCGCGAGAAACTCCTCATATTCGACTCAATTCCGGCCAGCATGATCCATTTAGTGATCCAGAGGAGACTTGCCCACCGGTCCCTAGTCATGTGGGCATTGGACGGGCCTTGACACCTGACATGTCGAATTCAACGTCGACGGGGACATTTATGACCATGCAGACTGGGATGGGATCACCGACCCCACAGGACTCAACAGATTTCCTGTTACCGCCGCGACCACAGAGGCACCGGGAACAGTATGACGGGTTTCAATCTCCGGATTTGTCTGCGCAATCGTCAAGACGGACAAGTTGGAGCTCGGAAGGTGGGAGTGAGAGCAGAGGCTACTTCTACCCCCGCTATGAGGACATGAGATCTCCTTCTCACGGAGAGGGTGATGGGGAAGATGTGAATACACAAACAGTTACGGAGAAGTTCAACATCATGCCGTCAGAAGGTCTACTTTTATTCCCAGAGGATGTGGAGAAGGACGATTATTTGCACAACCCGGATCCAAACGACAAAGAACGAGATTGTGACATTTGGAACCGACGAGGGATAGTTAACGGTGGAGGTTTAGTCTTGTTGACCCTGGGTCTCCTGATGCTGTTCATTGGGTACCCTGTTCTGTATGATCTATACCCCTCTTTGGACAGATACTGGCATGGAAACTAATCTTCTGTAGTACTGCTGTTCGAGGGCTGCAAAAACCATCAGGCTCTGTCTGTGAAGCTGGGGACACATTATGTCTTGATGTGGGAGAGAGAGGCATACTTACAAATTTGCGGACCGGGTTGATAGACCCGGACACTCCGGCCTCAGCAATGACGAAGAAGTCGGCTGATGGCAAGGAATGGAAGCTGGTGGTGAGCTCAGATACTTTGACGAGCCTTCTGAATCTGTCACTGATCATCATAGTTCTCGGACGAGTTCAATACGCCGGGCCGGACGTTTTATGACGGTGACGATGCCTTTCTTCAGGCGGTTGATATCTGGTACGGTGTGACGCAGGATCTCGAGGTTTGTTCTTGTTGACAGTTTCCTACGATTTGTCTGCAGCTGACACCCTGCAGTGGTACGACCCTGATGCAGTTACTACGAAAGATGGTGTATTGGAGCTTCGGTTCGATGCATTCCCGAATCATGAAATGAAGTATAGATCTGGCATGGTTCAGAGTTGGAATAAGTTGTGTTTCACTGGCGGTCGTTTGGAAGCAAGCATATCCCTGCCAGGAAACGGTGAAGTCTCCGGTTTCTGGCCTGGTTTCTGGGCAATGGGCAACCTAGGGCGCCCGGGCTATGCCGCCACCACGGAAGGGATGTGGCCGTACAGCTACTATGATGGGTGCGATGCTGGTATCACGCCGAATCAAAGTTCTACAGATGGTCTAAGTTGGTTACCTGGAATGCGTCTACCTGCATGCGCCTGCAGCAATGCAGAACATCCTACCCCTGGTAAATCACGGAGCGCGCCGGAAATCGATGTGATTGAAGCTAGCGTTGCTGCTCTAAACGGTGATGCGGCGACGATGGTAGGGTCGGTTTCTCAAAGTCTGCAGATGGCCCCGTTCGATATTTGGTATATGCCTGATTACGGTGCGTACTCATAATATATGGATTGCGGTAGTTAGCCCTTGCTAACGGTATAGCAGAATACGCAGCTGTATACGATCCCAAGATCACAGAGATTAACACCTATCGTGGCGGGCCCTATCAACAGGCCATGTCTGGGCTCAGCAACCTCAATAATGACTGGTATAACGGAACACAGTACCAGGTCTACGCCTTCGACTACACACCCGGCGCCCGTGGCAATATCACCTGGTATGTCGGTGAGGATAAGACATGGACTCTCGACGGTAGAGCCCTCGGGCCCAACGGCAACATTGGCCAGCGGATAATTCCTATGGAACCGATGTCTATTATCATGAACTTGGGTATGGCATACAGTTTTGCTCCGATTGATGATAACATCAGGAAATTTTTGCCTGGGTACATGCGTTTCGATTACCTCCGGGTCTACCAGGATCCAGACAACATCAGCCTTACCTGTGACCCACCGGGCTATGAAACAACGGAGTATATCGCAAAACACCCCAAGGCGTACGAAAACGTCAACAAAACTACATGGTAGGCCTACCATATTCTAGAACGTATTGACTGATAAATTTACTGACGAGTGGCAAGGTCTGATGCTGGATATGACTGGCCCAAAAACTCATTCATGCATGAATGCTGAGTCGTGCCGTTTCCCCCTACCAGCAATTGAATCCCTTCAGCTCCCGAGACTTCTGCCCGAAACATCTTCAAAACCTTTTGGGTACATAGCTGGCCTCTTTTGTACCAACCTTGTATCACCACTGTCTCGATGGTGAATTCTACCACGTTCACTTATATCCCACCTTGCTAAACGGCGTCTTTGGAACCTCACCAGTCGTTTTAGCGGCATTGTGCTTTGGCGTTCGGCGGGCATTATGATTTCCATTCTGCAAAGAGCTGCCCGACCTGGACTTGGTCGCATTCGTGTGCGCGCCCAGCTCGATTTGACGGCCGCATGTCGGGCGTATTTTTTTTTGTCTTCTTCACTCTGCATGCTGGCATTTACATGTGTATTATCGCTGTCATCTTCTGTCTGTATACCTTTCGATATTTCCCTCCTTCCCAACTTTTCCTTGTCTGTTAACAAATCTTGTGGGGGCTCGAGTCATTGCGCTCTTTTTATTCTTATGATAGAACACGTTGTCCGACGATTCATGGACCGTCTTCTTACCGACGAAAACGAGGCTGTGGTATGTACGAAATCTAGGGCGCAGAAAAGCGCTTCGCATTTGAGAAAAATAGTCATGTTGAGGTTCCTCATTCTCGCATTGGTTATGAAAATAGAGGCATAATATGAAATCCAAGCTGGTACAATTTATCTGATTCCATAGTAGATTCCCATGTAAACAAACTATTTCATCGAAATCTGATTGGTCATGACTAAGCTGCTTTGGCGTCACATGGGCAGCACCTTCAGTTCTTAATGTTGGTACTGACTTGAAAGCAACAATCGCCTCAAGCAGCATATTTTAACTGCCCTGCTGGACAAGGGTGGTGTTTCTTTTAATATAGTCCCCCAAGTCTTGCCCAATATACTTCCACTAGTACCATTCCTTGTTTTAGGCGGAGGATCTAATCTACTGCCTTTCTAAGTGTATACCGTGAGTAGACCATTGATAGATTGATTGTCTTGGCTTAAAACTAATTGTGAAGACATAGTCTATATTGCATGACTGAAAATATCTGGACATTACCATCTTGTCCAACCCCCTCTTACAAACATCAAAGTACTTTTGCTAGTGCCGGCTTCCATATTGCGAATTTGCCTATCATTCCCTGTGGAAATTATATCAGCCAGAAGGCTACTTCCATTGATCTAACCATCTACTGGCCATCTACTACCCAATCTTGCACCTCTCAATTTTCCATCGCACTATATCAGTCGTGTTAAAAACTTTCTCTACCCCCAAACAACCAAAATGTTCAATCCCAACGTCCCAGTTCCAGGCCCTCGCAGTCGCGATCCAATCGTGATCGACGACGAAAGCGAAGATGAAGACATGAACGTCGATTACCCCGGACGCCAAACCCATCCACGTGGGATCGATCCCAGTAAGTCCCCATCTCCTTACTTTATCCTTACATAGCATCCATATGATCTCATCATCTGGAGCCTATCACAACTTACCGACCACTCTTGAGTTTCCTCAAAAGCACACAAGCTAATAGCCCTAGGATACGACTCCGATCGCATGCGCGGCCCACTAACAAACCACCACACGACTATCGAACAGGAAAAAAAAGTGCGCAGTCGTCTCCGCGAGGAAAGACATGCTGCGCTTTGTGTCCTGATGGACCGGGAACTCCTCACTATGCAGGCATTGGCTGCCCAAGAGGTGAGTAATTGTATTGGTCTCAATTAATCTATTTGCCTCTTCAATAAAAGCCCCGTCGTCATTGCCTTAACTGAGATCTAATTCCTACTCATCTTACCCCGATTGTCAAATACTATGGTTGTCTAAAATCTAACTATAAAACAGACCCTCCCACAAGCGCGCCGTCGCTTCCTTTCTAAGCTCATCGCCCCTGAGGACCCCGAGGTAGCGGCCTCTATCCGCTCCGACCTCTTCCTCGTCCAGAATCCCTCTTCGTCTTCAAATAATCAACCTCTAGTTGTGCACCGGAGTGTTGTTGATGTTCATGAAACTGACGATGAGGGGTGGCGACGGCCCGCCGATGCCGGTGGATCGTCGTCGGCGTTCTCGTCGCCTGCTTCGTCGTCGAAGAACAAGGGGCGGTTGTCGACGCCCGATAAGACGAGAGGGAAGGGGAAGGCACCGCCTAGTTTTGCTTCTGGGTCGGCGGGTCGCGGACAGCAGTTGCGAGAAAGGGAGAGGAGGAGGAGGTGGAGTGGTGCTGAGAGGGAGGACTATGGGATTTCGTCGCCTTGAGTTCTTTCGATCTTAGTTCCTTGGCGTTCATTACTGTTGTCTTGGGAGGTAATGAGATGCTCATTATGGATTATACATCTACTGTGTGGACTTGCTTATCTGATAGAATGATTGAAATGAATTGAATATTCACAATGGGCTCATGTATACATCCAAAAGACCGTACCATCCGTAAAATATCCTGATCGTCCCATAATCTACTATACAAAAAAGACAGACAAGAGCATAGCTAAGCAAAAAATGAATATAGGGGAAAAAAAGGGAATTAAAGAAAAACCAAAAAGGAGCATTATAGGCTCTACCCTCTATGTAAGTGTAGATCACCAGAGCCACCTTTCCACACTTGCCTCCTGAATGGGTACCCAAGGGTATCAATAGACCCGAACCTTCCTATAAAGTCGGTAGTGGTCGTCAAATGTACTCACATTCAGGCAAGGTTGACCAAGTTTTACTTAAAGCAGAGAATATACGCTTTTGTCTATCCACACATGTGTGACAAAGCAATGAATAGTGAAGGTCATGGTTTCAACCAAAGTGGTCGACTCACAGAGAGCTCCCAATTAGTGAAGCTCGTCTCCAACAATAATCGACCCGCAAGCGGGCCCACAGCAGGAGCATTAACCCTTCCATATAGTGTTCGTAAGCCAGCGGTCGGCTCAGTTTCCTGGCCTTTCAGCGTTAAGCCGGCTCTCAGCATCGCCGACTTGCTTACGCGTAGAAACTTCCCTGCTTTGCATGCGTGCACGCACGGCTCGAATGTTCATCGGCGTCAATCCTTGAGATGGTGGTGGATCCGGTTCTGAATAGAAAGGATGAAGTCTATGGGAAGTAGAGAACCGGACACGACCATCCCTCATGACTGGTAATTGTCATTGCAGAGGCTCCGAGCTCGAGGATAGGCGGTTCAGATGAAGATAAACATCCGTACCATATCTAAACTAAGTCAGATCTAACTGGATAAAAATAGGTCGATAACTGAACGGAAAAAGACTTACCCTTCCATGCTGATTAATTTCAAGTCCCCACCAAAGTACCGAGCGTACAAACGACTGATAGGTAATCCGTACCCGAAGCCGGCCATAGGGGCTTTGAAGTCGCTTTTGTCAAAATCGGGATCCAAATTGGGTGTTTGCTCAACCGTAGTGTACATGTACGTCCAAACCAAGGGGATAGCAGAGCGGGGAATTCCACCACCCTCGTCGGACACCTTGATAGTGATGTCTTCTTTTCCTTCGGCAATGATGACTTTGGTGACTGGGAAAGCTTCCTTGTCTGCACCATGGGTCTCTACCACTGCACGGAGGGAGTTCTTCAGGGTTTCGAAGAGCATATGAGACAAATGGCCTGGGACGTACATGAAGTTCAGGTCATTTTTGCAGACAAGCTGGACTTTCGGAGCTTCAAATAGACCATAGTAATCTTCACACACGAATCGGGCGTTATCAATGGCTTCGAGGGCGACTTCACGGACATTTGTCTTCGTACAGATAATACCAACGTAGTTTGGATGGCGGACGTGCGTTTGTTCAGTCAATGCGATATGTTGGCCAATTAACATACGTATACCTATCCGAGACATGTAAAAACGATCGAGGAAGGACTGGACGGTCGAGTCAATCTGTAACCTTTGGCGCTTGCGCTTCCATTCCAGAATACCCTGAGCCACCGTTGTTACAACGCTGTCGTGCCGCCGTTTAATTTGCTGGAGAGTTTTCGCGAAGCGCTCGTTGTAATCATTCAATTCCGGAGGCCAATTGCCCTGGTCATCGGAAGGTACAAAATATCTTCGAGCCGCGGCGGCAGCGGCCTTTCCATTTCCGTTATGATTCAATGCCGAGGAGGGAGAGGACCGATATTGTCCTTCTTTGATACTAGGGTTCTGAGTGGTTTCCGAGAGGATCTTCGAAGCACCACCGTTGATTTTTCCTGGCCGTAGCAGCCGGGATTTCACTTCCTGGGTAAGAGTCGGCCGAGGCAGGTTGATGATTTCCTTTATTCCATGTTAGATATAAAGAATACTAGGAGGAGTTTGCTTGGGTTCATGGCATTGTGGGCTACAGAATGGAGTGGGTGGTGAGTCATACCTCGAACGATTGCGCGTACCAGTCCTGGACCTTCTTGATAGAGGGCATTTCACTGAGTCCATCAGGGAGTTCCCCCAGGTCCTGGACACGGTGAGCGAGTCGAATTGGGAGCTCCTCGGAGAGGAATTGCGAGGCACGAAACAGAGTTCCTACTTCAAAAACGAGGTCACGCGATCAGTACAAAAGTCCATAAGTCATGGCTATGACATCAACAGATCTCAAGGGACAAAGGATGGACCTACCAGTCGAAGGTCTGTCTCCAAATTGCACCATCTGCCGAAGGGAAACACCAGTGGCGGGGAAGCTGGCATAATGTCTGATGGTCTCCATCAGCCTCTCCGACGGCTTCCACATGGTGTCTGTAGGTAATCAGGCCAGACGGCCCGAGAGAGTCACTTCTATAGTCCCTGAATAGCGTAACAGAGCGAATATCACTGCGTGGTATAGCGTATAGCTGACAATGCTGGGCGCTTGTAGCTGGGAAGATAGGAGGCGTTTAAAGTCGGGATGACTACTACCGAGGTAGACTCCTCCGCTAACGGACGGCGGAGTGCAGATGACTCGGGACCAGTGGAGTAGGAGATGAGGGGGTCGATAACAAGGTGAATAGGGCGAAAGGTGCAAGACTTGATATGTAAAATGAACCAATTTAGCAATGCATGGGGAATGAGCTTCGATCTCCCCAGATATATGCTATAAAAGGTCGATGCAAAGGACCGCAAACGAAGAAAAAGTGGAGGAGCTTGGTGAATGACTCTTGTGGCCGTTGCGGAGACTCTCTTTCCCGGGGAGTCACGTGTGGGGGGGGGGACCATTCCGTGCTTGGCCGAGGAACAACGAATATCGTCCGATCCTCAGGTAATCAATGAACCGTCAAGCATAACCGGTTCACCCTTTAACAATGGATCTGTGTGCTACCAAAAGCAATGAATGATATTCTTTGTTTTCGGGTACTGCAACAAGTAGGCAGGAAACAGAGTGGCGGCACAATGGTGTTTGAAGTGGGATCAACCCCAGATCGGTCTCCGTGATCCTTATCGTCCAACTGGAATTGCCGATGAGAATGTGAAAATTGGTCCGGGTTTTTCCCCTTCGCCCGAAAATCATTCGACTTCTCCTCACGGATGCTCCGATGGGTCTGGATCTCCCACCGGAGACACGAAAAAGAAACATATAATTGAATCCTGTCTAGTTTTAACAAGTCTTCGTTAGGCTGAAGGACGAAGAACTTTTAGGTTTCTCCCACCCGCGGTAGGGTTCATCCGTCCGCGGTTCCCCAGGATCCAATACCAGACCATATCAAGCGCTTGGATTATGCCCAAACCGAACGACAGGTGCCTTGATTGAGTCTCCCATGTTATCTAGTTGCCTGATGTGCTTCAGTAGTCAATGTGCTGTTCTTTAGGATTTACTTTCAAGACCCAGGAAGGGATGATGGTAGTTCCCCAGATTGGGATTGTCCATTCTCTCAGCGTGAAACACAATGTCCTTTCAGCTTATATTTGTTCTTGTTAAGGGTATGACAAGTCAAGGACAATCGAACCTTGACCCTGTTGCATTCAAAGAGCGATTGAATAGCATTGACGGGATCTGTCTTTCGCGGGAGAGTCCGTAGTGAGACCAAGTAGATCGTACTATTGTCAGCGACGGAGGGCTGACTCTTTGTCACTTGCATGTCCCGTGACACAACAGCTGTGAGATTAAACCTAATCTTAAGGGGGGGAGGGGGAGGAGAAAAAGTGACATGAAATAAAACCTGGCCGATCGTGTGCCCTGTTTCCTGTCCTTTTGGTTTCTTGACAGGTACAAAATGGTTCGTTTTTGCATTTTTGTAAAGGTAGCCAAACTTGGTTCTAGAAACCTAACGCCGCCTAAACACTTGGTCTATTGTAGAACGACCTACTAGAATGTAGTATTCTATAGTTATTCTAGTCTATTACGAAGTAGTAGCGTTCGGAAGGCCTTTGATTTTATTTTATTTTATTTTATTCTATTTATGGGTTTTTTTATTATATATATACCTCTTTCCGACTATTTTTAACCATCTGTCTTCGGATGGTATGCCTGGTGTTTTGCACGCTGTAATGGAACTAGAACCCTGCTTCACATAGCTATTTCTGCTCTAACAAAAATATTAGAGAGAATTTGAACTGAGTCATGTTTCTCTTGACACCATAGAATTTTTCTCATACCTCCCACGACGTCACACCTTATCCAAGACGGAGCTTCATGCTCCTCAGCGTGAAATGAACCAGCCTTTAATAAAAGCTATTTCTATAGTTGGAGGTGACAGGGCTCAGTTGAAGGAAGGGTAATGTGTCAGTAGTATATTGGAGGCATGACTCTGTAGGAGACTAGCCTACATTACATGGAATTACGTTGACACCCTTCATTTGAGGAGAGCTCGTACGAAGAACTACGAATATAGTTCGGGTGTAGTAAAAGTAGTAGAAGCTCCGGGAGGTGAGCCCTCCATGGCGATTGCCATGTTGATAGCATAGACCGTAATGTCATCATCAAAGAAATTGAATGGAGACTTGGAGTTCTCTTATTCGTAGCCCTGTTCCCCCCTTTTTGTGAGATATCAACCGACGATAGCATCATAGTGAGCAGATCATATTCCACACCGCTTTCACGATCTAGATGGCTTCCATTCTTCCTTCGATGCGGCAACTTTGACCCAGGGGTTTAGCGAACGATTTTCCCACGCGACAGAGGAGATTGCGCAAAAGCAGCGTCAGAGACTGTAATTCCGACCTGTCAGATCAGTTGTAGCGTTCTTCTCGGAATGGAGCCTTAAAAGGAGAGATATAAGCCGGTTGGCCAATAGGAAGAATCCGCAGTCAAGCACATAGTAACTGTAATTTGAAGCTGTGGAGAACAGCTGGAAACGCAAGCTGCTAAGCCCTAGTTGGCCTTAGTGGGCGCCTGTCAAGAACACGCTCGAGGGCACGATTCTTTGGTGGAGTTTGTCGCACCACGACGATCACCGCC